GGATTGACGATTTAATTAATTGGAAGATATAGAAAACTCTAAGTCACATTAAGCATAAGTTAAAGAGTAGGTTTCCTAGAGTTTTAGAAGCACACACCTTAGGTGAGAGTCCATCCACATTGTCCTCAGTGCAGATATACACCCTAGGTGAGAGCCCATCCACCGAATCCTCAGTGTAGGCTTCTTAGAGTTTTAGGAGCACACACCCTAGGTGAGAGCCCATCCACCTAATCCTCAGTATAGGCTCTCTAGAGCTTAAGTGCACACCCTATGTGAGAGCCCATCCACCTAATCCTGAGTGTAGGTTTCCTAGACTTTAGGAGCACACTCCAGGTGAGAGCCCATCTACCTAATCTCTGCAGTCTTCCCTAATCTCTGCAGTGTAACCTCTTAAGGTTTTAGGAGCATACCTTAGGTAAGAATCTATTCACCTAATCCTCCAATGCACAGTGAGACTAGGCACTTGACCCTAATTCACAAACTGACTAAGGCACTAGACACGATGCACCAAGACGTGACCCATGCTTCATTAATTAAATCAACAGTGAAATTCCCTCAATGACTTAACCTACAATGAAACCCAATGCATCGGGATTTGAGCTTGAATATTACACTCAAATCCTCCTGGCAATTGGGGAAATTTCTTAACGCCATATATGGATCATCGGACTAGGATAAGTTTAGGGTCTAGGTGGCAAGGGCGATGACAACATTGCTTATGTGTGCTTAAACGAGGAATACGATGTTAGATTATTAGAATAGTATCTCCTACCTCAAGGATCTTCAATAAGGGAGAGGGAAAGACCTATGATACTATTCACCTATTCTTGGTAGGATCGTTGCCCCCGACACTCTTAGGTTGTCAGTAGTTCTAGCATGATTAGAGTGACTAATCTGTGGACTGTATGACTTTACAAAATATTTACGAAAATAAAACAAAATTCCTTTTACATAAAAAAAGATTTAAACAACAGCTTTTGCATGAAAATCAAATAACTTTTCTACGAAAATTTATAAAGGTCCACGACTAGTCACTTGGATTGAGGTTAAGAACTACCTCCTGTAGATTGTCGAGTTGGTAACTCCTGTTCAAGAACGGGAAGCACACAGCCCAGCTCTGAGCCCCCACTTTCACCAACTTCTTATACTCAGTCCTGATCTTTCATATGTGGCTAAGTGTTTCGTTTGCTTTTGATTTATACGACTCGCTTTTCTGACTTTCGTGCTGAGTTTTCTTGTCTTGTTTAGTTTACTTGCAAGTTTATTTAAATCCCTGCAAATTATATTGTGCTTTGTGAGTTAAACATGCAACAGGAATAACAGCAGCAGATACGTCACGTACGCAGGTACATTTTATTTGTTGTCGTTCCTTTATTTTATTGCAATTACTCTTGCTCTAACACATTATGCAGGTACTGAATACGATATCACTTTCAAAACAAAACATTTTTTTTAATTAAACAACTTTTTCAAAATTAAAAAC